AACTCTGCATACATCACTGTTTATTCATTAATTTATGTAGTAGCTTATGGCAAAAAGTAAAAAGCAAAAAGTTCTTGCTATTTTTCTGGATCTTTCAAAGGCTTTTGATTGTGTCAACCATAAAATTCTTCTTTCCATACTGCATAAGTATGGTGTAAGAGGAGTAGCTTTAGACTTGATTTCTTCCTACTTAACTGATAGAGATCAAGCTGTATCAGTTTTTGATGCTGTACTTAATGAGCAAATTTTGTCTTCCTTTAAAAAAACCAAAATTGGTGTGCCTCAAGGCTCAGTATACGGACCATATTTGTTCTTGATATACATAAATTGTATTCAAAAAGTACTTGATGATAATGACTGCGATTCCATTTTATATGTTGATGATAAAAATATTTTAATTTCTGGGCAATCTATTGATGACCTTTAGGTAAAAGCACAGAATATTCTGAATGTAATTTCTGATTTCTTTGCTTCTTTGAAGCTAGCACTGAATGTACAAAAAACAAACTATATGATTTTTAATGCGGAATCCATAGACCTAGATCTTTCTCTGAACAATGTAAAAATTGAACCTACATCTCTCTGTAAATTCCTTGGTATTCATGTGTCAAATGTTCTATCCTGGAAACCGCAAATTCAATCTATTTTAAAAAATATTAATAGGGGACTATTCGTTTTAAAACAATCTTCTCAATCACTTTCGAAATCTTACAACAGGCTAGTCTACAGTGCTTTTATCCATTCCTTTCTCTCTTACGGTATCATTTTATGGGGCAACCCTAGCATTAACATGGTCCTACTCAATTCTATTTTTAGGAAACAGAAAAGGGCAATCAGGATAATTAACAAAATATCAGATCCCTTGTTCTCTTGTAGAGGTCTTTTTAAAGCCAATAAGATCCTCACTCTGTGTAGTATTTATATTTACTTTGCCTCAATCTATGCCAAAAAGAAAATGTCACACCTTATGGTTTCCTCTGTTCACCATCACAATACTAGAAATGGTCACAATTTGTTTTACAATCATTTTTCAAGAGGTGAGGTAAAAGGAGCCTGTATCCAAACTTATAACAAGTTATTGCCTAATTCTTTGAAGGCTATTAAGGACCTGTCTGTATTCAAGGTAAAACTAAAAAAGTATCTTCTCGAGAGAGAATGTTACTCCTATGCTGAATTTATTGAATGATTGAATGAATATTTTTCTATGTATCCTTGTTCTATGTATCCTTGTACTAACTATGTATTTGACCTGCTTATATACAAGTAAATAAATATGAATATGAATATGTTGCTTTTCTTTTGCCATCTGCATAAAGTGTACATATATTCTCTTCCCCTCGTTTGATAGTTATACACCACTCTTATTTTCGGAATGGCTCTTTCTTACCAGTATTGCGATCTTGTAAATGATCCTGCCAGGGCCATGATTAATAAATAATGTTTTAAAATTCCTCTCCATGTTATGTCTCTTACAACCACAACCTGATCCTTGCTTTTGCATTTGACTGAGAGATTTGAACTCCTAGGAATTTCGTTGCTAGTCAACACTCCCTAAATGTTGACCTCCTACTTTGAAAACATAATCCTTCACTCCCTCAAAGAGCATATCTAGTTATTGCCCAGTGTAGTGCAAGATGTAGTGTAGGTAAATAATTTTGAAGGTCCAAAGAAATATTGACATTTCCTTTAAGCCTTGTAGATTACAGTTTTCTATTATTATATTAGTACTGATTTTGAATAAAAGTTTTGGTACCTTGTACACTCCTCATCAAATGCATTCTGTCAGGGTGTGAAATTTGTCTTGAGGAAATTGAACAACACATGTAACTTTGTAAGGCACTTTAATGTTTGAGATATAAATTGAAAGATATCAGCTGAACTGGAGAACATTGTGAGCATACATGTTCATGGGGAATTGAAATGCAGTCGACAGTACAAGTAATTATTCTTCAAATGCATTGCAGTCGTGGCATACTATTTTGCATTGACATAAAAAGCAGGCGGGACCTCTCAGGACCTACCCATCAATTATTTTTCTTAATTCTGCAGGAATTAGTCACTCAAATTTCAAGAATAAGAGCAATGTTGAGTGTTTTATGCATTTTATGTTACAACAGGAGCTCCAAGGATTAAAGGAGAAGAGCTGACAATTTTGCAATACTTATTAGGTGGAGGTGCCAGGGGGAGAAAAGTACAAAAAAATAATAATAACAGGCGACCAAGACAATGTGAGGCACCAGCCATAAGGCATGCTCACGTTACTTATTAAAGTTACCTTTAAAAAATTGAACAACACGTGAATCTTGTGTGAACTTTGGATGGTGCCTTTTCACATGATTCTTCACATTTCTCAATTTTAATGGCTTGCACCAACTATAGGCGCACAATGGACATGTTAATTTATCCTCACTTCCCTTGGAGGATTGTGCTAGACCCTTAATATTTTGGTAAGAAATCACTGATTTGTGGAAATAGCCATCTTCCGCAGCAGAACTTATATCATTGCGAAGGTAGGCCCCAAGCAGATGTCTGGCATGTACGCCCGTTGCAGGACGGAGGTCAATGGGATGGACAGATCCCGGACTGCAAAGAAATGTTACACATGGTACACCAGGTTTCCATTTTGAATTCCTTTGAAACATACCATAAGCATTGTAGATTTTATACTTACATGCAGCTGCAGGGAGGACTTACAGCTCCGTAGGGTAACCAACTTTTAGTTGCAAAGTTGCACGCTTCTGACCAGTTGAAAGAAAGATTTCCACCAGAATGAGCTGCATTTGGGAGCACAACTATACCTTCCCCTTGTCTTTGGATGACCTGCAGTGTAAAATGCAGATGTTAGGAGTTGTTTACTGCTTGACACATCAGTGCACATGTATCTTCCTTACCACACTGAAGGGAATACGTTCCTTTCGAAGCCAGGATACACTTGGGATGTAGAACTTGTGACCTAAAATGTTCCAGCAGGACATTAGCTCACCGAAGCCACTGGCTAGCAGGGCAACCGTTAGTTTGGTTACAGAAGTAGGGGGAACAATAATCCTGTGAATCAAATAACTGTCTGTAAATTGTGAGGCTAAATAAAAGAAACCCCACATAACTGGGATTTTAAAAAGAAATTTGTGGTGGTGGTGGAGGGTTAAGTGAGAAAAATCTGTTTTCTGGAGTTTAACCCCTCCAAGCACTCCGGAAACCACATTTCTCTCACTTTACCCCCGCCCCCACCCGCCTATTAATAATTACCAGAATTTGGGACCGCCGTACATCAAGAAATTCCACGAAAACAAACTGAGGTCTTCCACATGTACCGGAAAGTATGTATGACTAGTTCCAACATACATTGCAGGAAATGAGATCCCGTTGAAAGCTGAATCTATCAGACTTAGCATATTTGCATGGCAGAGTTGCATCATGGAGAAGTTCTTTGTAATCTTTACATGCTTTTGAACACTTTCGTAAATGCCTGAGCTGTACAGAATGTTTGTCGAGTGATGTGTCATGGGGCTATTGGTAAGTGCACACATCTTACACTTGCATGGCACATCTCTAGTGTCTTCTTTAAATTGTTCTACCTCCATAGCACTATTCAAGAGTGAACTCATTTCTTCAACTGTCTTCTGCTTTTGAAATTCTTGGCGTCTCAAATGCTCAGCTTGCCATTTGGGAATTTGATCCAGCACGGTTTTCATTTCTGTTTCATACTGTAATTTTTTTGGAATTTGGTAGGCTGTTTTGTCAATACTTGCGAAGAAATGTTCTATGAAGCCTTCAGTCCCTTTT